TCCCTCAGCTGAGTAACCCCAGCCAACCTAGTGTTCCTCAAGTCTGCTGATGCTGGACCACTGCTCATCTCCATTGATGAGTCTTAGCACTTCCTGTGTTCCCCATGCTGGGCTGGTGCTGGGGGAATCTGCAGTGAGCAAGGCCATTTCCCCACGGAGCTTCTGGTCTAGAAGAAACCCAAAACAACATAAATATTCATCAGAGTGGGGGCAGCTCCATCACTGTTATCCATGCTTCTGTCCCGTGGCCCCGCGGCTTCTTGGGAAGTGTGGGTCTGTGCTGTGTGGATGAGCCCCTTTTGCTTATTTGGATGGTCTCATGTAGCCCCTCTCCACTGGGTCCCTCCTGGGAACCACAGAACACAGACAGTAATCTCAGTGACAATTTTCTCAACTCTGCCCAGGATGGTTCCTAACGAGGACTGTGCGGGGTGCACAGGAGAGCAGTGAATTCACTATGTGCAGCTGATGCCTTAGGGCACTAGGCTTTTTCTTTTTTTCTTCTTCTTTGCTCCTTTGTGACACATTCTTCCATTTTCTAAACTCTGAACGTTGGTTTCCCTTGCTTCCTGCCTCTTCTGAACCTTTTATTTTTTAATCTTCCTGCTTGGATTATTTTTTCTATCCTTTATTCCCCTGAGCACAGAGGGAGAAGCAGAACCACAGGGCAGAGGTGGGGTACTTTCATTAGTGATGGGTGAGGATTCTGCTTGATTTGAAAGTCTGCACAGGGAGGGGGTGGGATCTAAGACAAACACACGTTGCCATCTGTAACTCAACCAGGATTTTTTGTTTTTTTTCTGGTTAACCATGAAGAAGAACCTAAAATTCAGCAAATCTCTGTCTTGTGCCCCTCCCTCCACAGAACACAGTTCTCTGTCCCATTTCTCTTAAAGGCAACTTCTCCATCCTGCCTTTAAAGCATTTGAAAAAAAAAAAGATTATATTGCCCATAACTCAAACCTCAGCAAGATGCAAAAGTGCAGGCAGACCAGAAGCAAGATGCTCATCTTCAAGCAAGATGCCTTCCTTGAAGCTGAGTCTGGCCTCTGTACCCTACACTGAAATTAAATCTCAGAAACAGATTTAATTTTGGGTGAAGTATTAATAGAAAAGAATAGCTTTATTACTCTGCCAGGCAAAGGGGACCACAGTGGGTTAATACCCTCAAAACCATGCATCCCAGCTGGAGTGGGTAGTGAGGAGTTCCATAGTAATGGTCCGAAGAGGGCGTGATCAGTTCGTGGGCATTCTTCTGATTGGTTGGTGGTGAGGTAATTGGGAATCAGCCTCATCAACCTTCTGGTTCTAACACTCTGGGGTCTACATGCCTGTGGGCTGCATACCCATCTTTAACTGCTAACTTCTCACACCTGGAGAGGGTCTCCGTCTCAGCAAAACAGCTCAAAGATATTGTTGTGTGTATCCCCTGTTGGGGAACCAGGACTTTGCTCCATAGCTACACTATTGTTTCTCTTGACTATTTCTCCCTTGTCTCGAACCCCCTCCCTTTCATAATTAGCAATTGTTTGAACCCACTTGTCGGAACTCAGGGAAGGTCATGGAGGCTGAATGAAGTCTGTTGCCTATGATCAAAGAGACGGGGGACACAAGAAGGTTCTTGTGCCCAGGAGCCCCACAGGGTCCTTCTCTGTATCATCTTGGCTTCCCAAGCCACCTCGCTCCCCTCTCCCAGGAAATCCCACCCACCACAACTTCCTTCTTGGTTCCGTTCTCCAGACAAGTATGAGTGATGGATCAGAATTGACAGGTGGTATGAAATGAACTGGCCGTCCTGGGTGGAGGGGAAGCCAAGGCAAAATGGTGGCTGGGCAGATGGAGGCCTTCTGGCTGATGGTGGGGTTCATGGACTGACTGTGGGACTGTCTCTGGTCATGGGTGGCAGTCCTTGGGGCCACCGCTGTGCTCCTTTCTCAGTCCTCTCTGGGTGTCTGCCCACTTCTGCAGGGGCTGGACCCTGTCCACTGTGGGCCAAGGCCATGGTCCATAATCACTGTAGCCTAGCAGCTCTCTGGCCCTGGGTAGAGTGTTGGGAGGACAAGGAGCTAAGCAGAATTTCCTTCCAAAAATGCTTGACCGAGCTCTGGTTTTGGAGCTGAAAGGGGGCTCTGCAGGTGGAAGACGGTGATTTGTTATTGTTATTGTTTAATATTCATCAAGTGCCTGTAATATGTTGGACGACATTGAAAAAGATCCGTGGCTCTTCAAATTAAACTGAGCTCAGAACTGGCCTGGTGCCTCTGGGTCTCTGGCCGGCCAAGTTCTGGTCTCTTCTCTTTGTCCACAAGAATGACCTCACAAGCCAGAAATGAGAAGCCCCCATCAACACAGCCCTGCCGATAATTCTCCTTAGAAAAGACATTGTTTCTCATTATTTTCTCTACCTCAGGAATACTTTTACTCTCAAGAATGAGAGAACCTGGTGGTCCAGTGGTTAAGACGCCCCACTCCCACTGCAGAGGGTCCAGTTTCAGTCCCTGGTTGGGGAATTAAGATCCTGCATGTGGTGCCACAGGGTCAAAAAAAAAAAAAATCATAAATAAAGAATGAGGGAACCAGAGAGGGAAGGTGACCTGAAAAAGCGACAAAGCAAATCAGTGCAAATGACATCCTTGAGCCAAACCTGTGACATCAGCAAAGCTGGCCTGCAGTCCTGCCCTCACCTTCTTCCTGATTGGGATGCTCCCTCCTGAAGACACACAGGCTCCTCATTCTCCCTCCCCTTTCAAGACCATCTGTCAGAAAAGGGCTACACATGCATTCATACTAAAGAGTAGAGGACTGAGGCACTAGGGTTGTATTTTTACCTCCATTATTTTGTTTACTACTCCCAATCACCCTTCGTGGAAAATGCTGGCATTCGCCACATTTTACAGGTGAGAAGACACAGCATTCAGTCATCTAGTCATCAGGTAGGAGGAGCCCAGGTGCATCACCACTGCCCTCTAGGTACCACACCTGGGCGGTTTACCCTTCAACGAAGCAGAAGAGCATTAGGCCTGTGAGTTCAGCCCCAGCTGAACATTAAAATCACCTGGGGGGCTTTCAATCATACCTATGCCTGAGTCCTTTTCCTGTGACTCAGATTTAATTGGTGGGGGCAGGGAGGATGCCTAGAGCTGAAAATGCCTGCTAATCAGTGGGGGAAGGGGCAGCTGTGCTCAGTAGCTCAGTCGTGTCCAACTCTTCACGACCTCATGGACTGTGGCTCACCAGGCTCCTCTATCCACGGAATTTTCCAGGCAAGAATACTGCAGTGGGTTGCCATTTCTTTCTCCAGGCCCAGGGATCCAACCGAAGTCTCCTGCTCCTCCTGCATTGTAGGTGGATTCTTTATCTTTGAACCACCAGGGAAGCCCTGGGAAGGGGTTCACTTCAGTTGCTCAGTCGTGTCCGACTCTTTGCGACCCCATGAATCACAGCACGCCAGGCCTCCCTGTCCATCACCAACTCCCAGAGTTTACTCAAACCCATGTCCATCAAGTCGGTGATGCCATCTAACCATCTCATCCTCTGTCATCGCCTTCTCCTGCTGCCCCCAATTCCTCCCAGCATCAGGGTCTTCTCCAATGAGTCAGCTCTTCCCATGAGGTGGCCAAAGTACTGGAGTTTCAGCTTCAGCATCAGTCCTTCCAATGAGCACCCAGGACTGATCTCCTTCAGGATGGACTGGTAAGGGGGAGGGACAACAGACACAGGGAGGAAGTGAGGGTTGCCTTTGGGAAGATTGTCTCCAAGAGAGGAGACGGTGTCTATTAAAGAAAGTCAGTCTTGAGCCCTGGTGGATCATGCAAATGAATTAATTGTGCTTCCAGGGAGAGGATAAGGAGCTGGGGCTGGGCCTGCTGAAATCCTGGGACCCAGAGACCAGTTTACCAAGGCATAGCCCCTAGGGTAGCCCTCAAAGGAATCTAGCTAGAGAGAGACCTAGAAGTCTGGGACCATTGCAGTGACCCCCAGGGCCTGACTCCTTTTCTCTCCCACAGGCAGCGGCTGGCTTGACTGGAGGAGCCGTTCTCCAAGGGCCTGAGGTGCCGAGGGAGAAGGACTCAGGAGCTGAGCCAGCAGGAGAAAGAGGTAATGGTGGAAGGAGGACAAGAACATGGGGAAGATCAGATCTCAGAAGGCAGAGTTCACCTCCTCCCTGTGGTTCCTCTCCAGGGCATGTCACCTGGGCCTCCACTAGGGGAATCCCGTCTGGAAGGGGCTGGTTGTTCAGGGCACTGGACGGTTTGAGATTGTCATCTTTGTAGCCATCTCCCATGCTGAACACAGAGCCAGATGTAATGGGTGTTCAAAAAGACGACTCACTGGCCAGGGTTGCGTGGGACTTAAGGGATACTGTGTTGTGGAGCTTTCAGTGCTAAAATGGGGAAAGCCTTGGACAAACTGGAATGTGCTGGTCACTTTAGTGCGCCAGGAAGCCTCAGAAGCAAGAGCCCAAAAGTGGCTGCTCCAAGACTCCTTGTGTTAGAGCTTGTGTTAATGGAGAGGATTGGTGTCACCTGGAGCTTGGCTGTCTTACTAAATGACATTGCCGATGTGACATGAAGTCTTTACCAAAGTCATCGATCCAACCAATTGTCCCCTCTCCCTTTCTTTTTGATACGTGGAAAAGAAATGCACCAACTCTATGGGTGGTGGGGGATGGAGAAGGGGAAGCAAAGTCTTAAGTCAGAGACTGAGCCTCTTCAGGGAGAAACTGACGCTGCTTACTAAGAAGACAGTAGTGTTTGGAATACAGCAGCTGACCAGGTGAATTGTGTAGAAGAATGAAATTGTGCTGGTATGAGACACAATAATGGTCAAAAGAATAGCTACTCTCTTCTGAACACCTGTGTTATGCCAGGTACTGTGGTAAGATTTTTTAATAATTTGAAAAATCGAGAAAAACACCCTAAACTAAAAGGTCCTGTAATCCCTAGCTCTTCCAGGGTGGTGGGTATGATTTTGTGAAATTAGATAGGAGAGCCCCTTACCTTCACCAGGCCATCCAGTGTCATGTTCCAAAAGGATCTCAGGCAGCAGTTTGGGATTTGAACTTCCTGACTTTCCCCTACATAACACAGATATATTTATGTTAATAACAGACATGTCTTTCAAACACACGTTTGGTCTGCAACTATTTTTGTCTTGTTTTGTTTTTAGCATATATAGACATCCTACTTTCCAGATCGTTGAATATTGATCCTGATTCTTTCAACTTCTGCTTAGCATTCCAATGTGCAAATGCAACATAATTTTTCTACCTCTTGCTTATTGGTAATTTACTTGTTTCAGGTATTATTATTATCATTTTGCTATTACAATGCCTTATTAAATCTTTTTTGCATATGTAAAAAAATCTTTACATATCTTTCTGCTGACTAAATTCTTATACATGGGGGTGTCTGGACCAGAATTTAGCTACAGTTTGATCTTCATAAATACTGAAAAATTAATATGCAAAAAGATACTACTAATTTTTATTTGCAATTCTATTTCTCCAAGACCATGACATTATTGGACGTTATCATTTTTAAAGAGATCTGCTGAACTTGCAAGTGAAAACTGGTGTTTTGTTGAATATGCATTTCAATGATCTTTTGAAAAATGGAAGTGTGGTTGATTAACAATATTGCGTTAGTTTCAGATGTACAGCAAAGTGAGTCAGGTATATGTGTGTATTTCACATTTTTTCCCACTATAGTTTATTATAAGATATTCAGTATAGTTCCCTGTGCTACATAGTAAGTTTTTGTTGCTTATCTATTTTTATGTATAGTAGCTTGTACCTGTTAATCCCATATTGCTAACTTATCACTTCCCCCCTTCCCTCTTTGGTAACCATCAGTTTGTTGTTGGTGTCTGTAAATGTGTTTCTGTTTTGTGTATAGATTCATTTGTATTATTTTTTAGATTTCATATGTAAGTTATATAATAATTGTCTTTGATTTACTTAGTATGATCATCTCTAGGTCTATCTATGTTGCTACAAATGGCAATATTTTATTTTTTATGGTTAAGTAATATAATAATATATATATATATATATATGTGTGTGTGTGTATATATCACTTCTTCTTCTTCTTTTTTTATATCACATCTTCTTAAGCCAGTCATCCATTGATGACTTGGGTTGCATCCATGTTCTAGCTATTGTAAGCAGTGCTCCTATGAATGCTGCGGGGTACATATCTTTTGGAAGTAAGAGTTTTCACCTTTTCCAAATATATACTCAGGAGTGGGATTGCTGGACCATATGGTAACTCTATTTTTAGTTTTTTAAGGAACCTCCACATTGTTTTTCCCTGGTGGCTAAGTCGGTAAAGAGTCTGCCTGCAGTGTGGGAGATCTGGGTTCAATTCCTGGGTTGGGAAGATCCCCTGGAGAAGGAAATGGCAACACACTCCAGTATTCTTGCCTGGAGAATTCCATGGATGGAGGAGCCTGGCAGGCTACAGTCGATGGGGTCACAAAGAGTCGGATACAACTGAGCGACTTCACTTTCACTATATTGTTTTTGGTTACTTTTTGACATGAATTAGAGCATCTTCTTATGTGTCTACTGGCCATTTAAATTTCCTCTTCTGTTCATATCCTCTATCTAGTTTTTCTATAAAGTGCTTTTATTATACATGTGTTACAGATCTTTTCATGCAAGATATATAAACACTTTGAGCATTATAATCTATTTTACTATATTTTTTACTTTTCAAATAAGGTTTTCATTTTGATCTGGCAAAATCTGTTAAGTCATTTCAGTTTTCTCTATTCCTGAGTTTTTATATAATGTACCATCCTTGCTGAATTCTTTGCCCATATTCTTGTATTTAAATTAATGCTGCAGAAAGCTAGGAAAAATCTGTAGGACCTCAGAGATACCAGTAAATAGAGATTGAGTGACAAAGTGGAAAAAAAAATGTAACAAAGTAGAAACATACATTTCATAGGTGTTGCCAAGTGGAAGTCTGGCCAGATTTTGTTATGGGGGAAGTTAATGCAAAAAGCCCTCCAGTCTTTTCTTACCTTCTCTATTCATCTTTAGGTTTGAAAAGACTAATTTTGGAAACCTTGGCTTGAGTGTTCCAACTGTGAGCACCCTGTCTGTCCTCCTCTAGGCTGTGCCACTATTGTCAAGCCCTGGTGAGAAAAAGTCATTTTGAAAAGAAAAAAAGGAAGGAGCCACAACAGGATGGCAGAAAGTGAATTCCTAGTCACTGAAGTGCTCAAACCTCTTAATGTGTTGTTTTTTAAAGTTGAGTTTTTATTGGCTTTGATCGACATGTCTTGGCTGATGGTAGAGCCTGATTTCCAGTGGAAGACAGCTCTTTATTTTTATATATTTATTTTTGGCCACACGGCATGACATGTGTGATGCTAGTTCCCCAACTTGGGCTGGAAGTATTGGAAGCATGGTAGTAGCTTTGGAAGTAGCATTGGAAGCACGGAATCTTAACCACTGGACTGTCAGGGAAGTCTCTCTCTCTCTCTCTTTTTTTAAGGTTATTCTTTTAAAAAAAAATTACTATTCATTTATTTTGGGTCCATTGAGTCTTCATTGCTGCTCTTGGGCTTTCTCTAGTTGCGGTGAACGGGCTCCATTGCTGTGCTTGGGCTTCTCGTTGCAGTGGCTTCCCTTGTTTTGGAGCAAGGCTCTAGGGGTGCAGGCTTCAGCAGTTGTAGCATGTAGGCTCAGCAGTTGTGATGCGTGGGCTTTGTTGCCCCATCGCAGGTGAAATCTTCCCAGACCAGGGATTGAACCCTTCTTCCCTGCTTTGGAAGGGGAATTCTTAACTACTGGCCCACCAGGGAAGTCCCTCTTGATGGGGTTTTAACAGAGAAGATGGAATCCCAGGGTCTGATGACTGTAAAACATCTTCTAACCTTGGGGTCCTCTGATTCTGGGACTCAGCAATGGAATACTAGGAAAGAATATCATATAATGTGTTTAATAGAATCAGAACCCAAAGAAGGGGAGTGGGAATCTAGCAAATTTTCACTGGAGTGCACATCCCAACCTGGAGGAAGGGTGCTGGTGGAGAGCAACAGGAGTCCTATTTTCAGAGTCTATGGATCATACTTTTTAAAGGCCTAACACAAAGCTGGCATGGAGGCAGGATCCAGGAGTAAAGGAAGACTTCAGCCATCTGGGCATCAGTCGGAGTCTCAGGCAGCTAAAAACAGATAACGTCTTGTCTTGCCTTGCTGACAATTTCATCTCCAAAGGGAGAGAAAGCAAAGAGGAAAACTGGTAATTGGGACAAGAAGGAGTCTATTTGGGGTAGGAGAAGACAGGCACCTTGAGGACTGCGGCTCCAGCCTTGGGGTCCATCTAGGAGGGAAGAGAGGCTGAGAATGGAGGGGCATGTTAGTCATACGTGAGCAGGACCTGGTGCAAAGGTGTCAGAGAGCAGAGAGGTGATTCTTCTCCCTAAACTATTAAAGGGTGATCCTAGTTGCAAGGGCAGGAGCCTCTTGATGGCTTATGTAGTCATAAGTGACCTAGAAAGAAAGAGGAGGAAAAGGCTCACAAGAAGCCAGTACAGCCACAGGGAAAAGGATAGCAGGAGTGTCTTAGTCAGAGTTCTCCAAATAGGACAGACACGTGTGCGCGCAAACCTGCTCACACACCTATATACACACATCCACATAATTCTTTTAAGGAATTGACTCCTGTGACTGTGGGATTGGAAAGTCCAAAATCCATAGAACAAGCCGGATTGGAAGTTCAGACGAAAGTTGATTTTGCAGGCCAGAGTCCAAATTCTTCAGGGCAGCAGGCTAGAAACTCAGGCAAGTTTCCTACATTGCATTCTGGGGGAGAATTCCTTCTATTTTAGGGAACCTCAGTCTATGCCCTTAAAGCCTTCAACCTATTGGATGAGGCCCACCTACGATATGGAGGGGAATCTCCTTCCCTCAAAGTGTATTGATTTAAATCTTACTTTCATCTAAAAACTAGGCAACATCAGTACTGGAGTTTGACCCAAACATGGGGCACCATAACTTAGCCCTACTGACAAGTAAGTAACCATCACCAGAAACATGTAGCCAAGGACCAATTCAAGAACACTGCCTGGCCATAGGAGGAACCCCAGGAAGGCTAAGGTGGGAAGTGGCTGAAAGGACATCTAGACACCACGGTGGGGACACTGAGAATTAGTGTGCGGTGGATAGAGAGGGAACTGAGTATAACGGAATGCAGATCACTTTCTTCTTGGTTGAGGAGGAATCTCTGTAACCTGGATAGGGAAAGCCTGTGAGTATGAAAGAAATCTGATCCCACATAAGGTGGTAAAAGTTACTGATCTATTTCCAATGCATGTCACAGTGCAGAGTTGAAAACCATCAGCTTCAGCTTGTATGTAATAATGACTGAAGATCTGGGAAACAGAGTGTTTTCTGTTTGTTTAAATTACATTTTACTAATATTACACAGTCCTGAATTTCTCCTGAGGGAGTCATCATGGATATGTTCAAAGATTTTGTTGCAAAGCCTTGTGCATAGTAGTAAGACAAGCAGAGAACCTAAACATCTTAAGAAAAGGATATTAAGGGAATGATTATGGGATATTGTCATAGTGTAGTGCTATACTGTGCAACCATTAAAAATGATAGGAAGATTTCTTAATGAATGGATGTTGTCTACAACATTTGGTGAAATAAACAAAGCAGGTTATCAAAAATGAGATTTGAGGCTGAAGATAAGAAGAGAGACCTGTGCACCTTGAAGTCTACCAGCCCCTTGGCTGAGACCCATTATGACTCAGGCTGCTGCAACTTTCTGGGGATGTGCTTGGTGAACGCCTGTCGAGAATTCAGAGAGATCACAGAGAGCCGAGAGGGGATGAGAGGGATGCAGGGTAGCATTCAGCTTTTCATGCAGGGAACATAACTGGATATAAATCGTTAGCCAATTTCTAAAATAAATTACAAGCCAAATTGCTCAGAAACTAAATTCTGAGCATTTAGAAATAACAGTTGCAGAGGGAGGAGGTAGCCTGGGGTAACAGGTTTGACATGGAGCACCCACCTGTGCACAGAGACTCCTCACCCCACCCTCCCAGCCCTGGCACGGGGCTGCCTTTCTTTATTCCCCTCGGTATCCCTTCTGGGAGCCAAGCACAGTCAGAGTGCATGGACACAGTCAGCCTGAGATCCCGCAGCTGGACATTTAGGACCCAGGACATCAGTAGAGCTTATGTTCCTTTTTCTTACTCTCCAGCAGGGCTGGCAAACTATGGCCATGGGCTGAATCCAGGCCCCTGGCTATTTCTGTATGTTCTGTGAGCTAAGAATGGATTTTATAATGGTTGCAAAAAAAATATTTTGCGACATGTGAAAGTGATATGAAATTCAAATTTTGGTACCCATAAATAAAGTTTTGTTGGAACACAGCCATGCCCTTTGTTTATATACCGTCCATGTCTGCTTTGGGGCAAGAAAAATGGAGTTGAGTAGTTGTGATAGAGACTGTCTAACCTGCAGAGTTGAAATATTTACTCTCTGGCCCTTCACAGAAAAAATAATGCTGACCTCTGTTCTCTAGCCTTGTAGTCAGTTCTTTTAGGGCTCCTATGTTAACGATTACTGTCCTACCAGAGAACATTTATGGAACCATGTCAGAAACTGGGAAACAAAATATAAAAAGCACTTTTGATATTGGCATAGCTGGTGGCAGGTGACACCATGCAGCATGGGAAGACAAGGGGAGACAGCACACATGGCATGTGGAACTTTCTGGGATTTATTCTAGCTTTTGTTTATTGTTAGATTTTTTACTCATGGAGGACATGAGTAAAAATCGAGCTTTTATATTATTTTTGCAAGCTTTGTATTTTGTATTGAGGCATAGCTGATTAATAATGTTGTGATAGTTTCAGGTGCATGGCAGAGTGACTCAGTCGCGCATTTACATGTATCCATTCTCCCCCAAGCTCTCCTCTCATCCAGGCTCCCACATAACATTGAGCAGAATTCCCTGTGCTCTACAGGAGGTCCTTCTTGGTTATCCATTTTAAATATAGCAGTGTGTACATGTCCATCCCAAACTCCCTACCCTGGCAGTCATTAGTTTTTTCTCTAAGTCTGTGAGTTTGTTTCTGTTTTGCAAATAAATTTATTTGTATCCTTTCTTTTCAGACTGCACATATAAGGGATATCATATGATATTTCTCTTTCTCTGTCTAGTGTTTTAGAGACTATGGTCCAGGCTTTCAGTAGGGCCTCTGCAAAGTCTCTTGTGATATCCTGTGTATCCAATAGTGAAAATGTGGATTTGATGATAAAAATTAGTTACAAGTGTCATAGGCTGATGAACTGTTCCCACAGGATGTGGTTAATGAATTGCTGCCATCCTAAGATCTCTAGTACTGTGCCGTGGGGTCAAGTCTTGGAGACTGTCTTAGCTAGCATTTACATCAAATCTTTGTATAAAGACAGAGAGCATGGCCATCCAGTCCAGTGTAAAATAAGGCTGGGCATATTATCAGTTCAAGGCAGAAGGCTGGGAGTGTCACACCAAGAAGGAGATGATTATAACCCCTGAGTGTGATGTCATGAAAGACCAGGAAGAGAAGAGTGTGCTCAGAGCATGAGGTGCCCCAGGACTTGCACTGTATTGGAGAGATGTCCTGGGAGCATCGTGTTCCAGCTCAGCTCCACATTGTAGGAGAGAACTTGGCAGGTGAAATGGTCAGCAAGAGGCTTGGCCAGGGTAGTTATAGGTCTGTGAACAGCATCACATGTGGAACAGGAGAAGGTATGAGGGCTATTCAACCTGAGGAAGAGCACTTAAATAGAGCATCATTTTAGTTGGGTTCCCTGGGAATGGACCATGAGACAAGTATTGGGTGCATGTGCTTTATTTGAGAAGTACAGAAACCCCAGAGGGGAGTGGGGAAGGAAGACAGTGAAGGTGAGGCAGCCAGTGATGGATGTCAGCCAGCCAGCTCCCACTGTGGGTACCTGGGGCTTAATTCTGCAGAGAAACTGGGAAATGGCATAGAACGTATGTCTCAGTGATCCCATCTAGGGGGTGAGCTCTCTGGGGCATCTGTCATTGATTGGGGGCTGTGCTCAGGGTCAAGCCAAGGCTTCAGAGAGAGCCCCAGACCCGCAACTGGGACACCAATAGTGGGAAGGCTCTACAGATGTGGTACCAACACGTGCCGTACAGACATCCAATGGTCCTTGGATGTTTGAAGGGCTGTGATGTGGGTGAGAACAACAGGAAGCAAATTTGAGGTGAAAGGAACAAGGCCTTTGCTGGCAGCCGGAGCTCCATGAATTGGTGACATCACAAGTCTGTGTTGCCCGCAGCATAAGGACCTGAGGGACTCGATCTGGGAAACGCTGTGGAGACATTCTAGCTTTGATCAGGGTGTTGGAAAGAACGACACGCTATTCCTTTCCAGGTGCAAGATGCTCTCATTTTATGAATGAAACTCTAATGGATGTTGGAGCATCCAGTACTGGGTGACAAGCCTGGTGGTGATGGAGAAGGGTTGGAGGTCTGTGCACAATGTCCCCCAGGCTCCCTGGGCTGGGGCAGCCCTGAATAAGAGGCGGGAGAACTGCAGGCCATTCTCATCTAGGGCTTTGATCCTCTGATTCCCAACATCAGCCCTGGTGAGCAAAATTGAAGCACAGTTGAAGAGTTCAAAATCAGCCCCTTGGGCAAAAAAAATTAGCACAGAAGACAGTGTGTGGCCCTGCCTGCCTGCCAGCCCAGTGGCCCCCAGATTTGTTTCAGAGGCCTTGGAGCCCTGGGGCTTGGTCCCCCTTCCTATCTTCCCTCCCAGGCCCTCTGAGCTGGAGCTCAGCCGCTCAGGGCAGAGGCAGCTCATTATTTTGCTGCAGTTGACTTGCAATCTGAAATCAATCGGGTATCAAATATGCAGGCCTCAGTTTGATACCGTTTTTCAAAGGTGCAATAACGTTCAGAAATGACACTGCATTTCCTAATTATGAAATTCTGTCGTTGCCGCTCAGTCTAGGGTGACTTGGCTGCAGGGTTTTCTCTTTCTCTCTTCCTTTTTTTTTTTTTTTTGAAGGGTTTAGCACACACTACGATTATTTTAAAATTGCTTTGGAAGAATATATTTCATCAGCGAACTACCAGCGTGCTTATTATCGAAGTTTGGAGGCAATTTGAGAGGAAGGATAAATTAGCACAGACTCTGCAGGCCTTGGAAAGCAGTGCCCTCCCTGGTCCCCACCACTGGCTTATCACCGCTAATAAAACCTTTCACCGTCAGCGCCTCCACATGCTTACCCTCCTTGCTCACGGCGCATGCGCCAAGCGAACTACTTGGGGATTGCAAGAGGCTGCTTGGGAAACCCCTGCTCTGCATCAGAACTGGGGAGCGGCCGTGGGGAAGGATAGAGAAGAGGCAGGAAGTTAATGACTCACTGAAGGCCAAGGTCCCTCACATCCCATGAACTCTACAACTAGAATTGCTGCTTTGGTGCTCGGAGCTCCTGGTATGCCAAGGGTTTGTTTGCTCAGGAACGCAAGTGCCTTTGTGGGCAGTGGGGTTGTCTAGTGAGCTCCCAACATTTACAAGGTGGTCCAGAGCCAGTGGCTGACAGACGCCACGGCATGGTGAATCCGCAGACGTCATGTTCAATGAGAGAAGCAGAAACACCAAGAGCACAGGCGGCTTGATTCTATTGACGTCACTGTTCTAGAACGGGCATAATACATCTGTGGGGATAGATATCAGAATGGTGGTGCCCGTGGAGAGGGGGAGATTGACCGAAAAACGGCACAAGGGAACATGCCGAGCTGATGGGAACATTCTCATGTTATTATATGAACATATAGACTTGCCCAAATTCACTGAACTGTGTACTTAAAAAAAAATCTTGGGTTGACTTAATGCTACTTAGGTGATGTAGCTGGGGGCTTTCAGAACAGTTGTGGCCCATCGCATATGGGTACTGATGACTCCTTGCTCTCAGGAGGGCATGGCCTCAGGGGCTTATGCTTTCTGTAATGCAATAGAATCACAGTGGCTATCCATCCCTGCCTGGGGCTCTGCCCTGTTATCCTAGCCATGAGCTAAATACGCAAATACTGCCCCACTCTCTGGGGAAGCAGCCTTCGTTTCTGAGAAATATATGCCACTTGCAGCCCACACCATCCCTGTCTTGACAAAGAAGTGACTGCCAGGGGTATAGCACAAAGTCAAATGCTGATAACACACGGGAACCTCCAGGGCTGGGGTGAAGGGAATCGTATGAGATTATACTTCCCAAGGAACTTTGTTTCATCCTTTCTTCTTTTTTTTGGTAACACAAAGACCTCTTCACATTGGTGAATTATGAATATGCAGAAAAGATGGTATGAGACCACTCCGTGTCTCTGAGCTGAGGCCAGTTTAATTCCTAGGGCTCTAGTCCCTGGTACTTTTCCTGCATTTTCAGCAGCACCTGAAATAGATTTCGCTTCATATGAAATGCAAAACACTGCAGAGTAGAAAGCTCACCCTGGTCTGTGATCCAGGCGAGTGTTCTCAAGCCTGGTGTTCATATTTTTTTTTTCCTCCCTTTCTTCAAAATACTGCCTTGCTAAAGCCCACAGATGGGGATCATAGGATAAGTAGATGCATAATATATTACCCAAAATATTCCACCAGGCATCTTCTTTTACAGGTCAGGAGGACTTGCAAATGGTGTCTTCTAGGTCACCACATTTCCATCTGAGAGAAATTCTCTCTCATAATTAAGATTAGGTCAGCATTTCCATTACAGAGCCCGGTGGTAAAATCCATTCTAAAGTGGGGCTTGGTTTGAAAGCTCTTGGAGAAAACTCTGAAAATGATCATATAGCACTTTTCCCTTTAGAAACTAGAGAAACAAAAAATGGACAGGGAGTCAGGAGCAGCAGGGTCACGGGGGCGGGGGAGGTTGCCTCGGCCCCACGGTCCAGGGACACATGACATGGGAGGAGTTTTTGAGTCCCAGCCAGGGTTTCCCAGACTGTTCTCTGTCAATCCTCTCTAGCAGAATCACCTGGGCTCGACCTGTCCTCAGTGAATGTAGATTCTTGCCCTCCTGTGGCACAGTCTACCTGCTCCACCTGCTCATCAGCTCTACCCACACAGAAGGTCCAGGGTGGGGCCTGGGAATCTGCATCTCATAACTAGGTTCCCAGATGTTTTCCCGGAAAGGTGAAGCCTCCTAATCTAGGTCTTGTTACTTTGTTGCTGGTGGCCTTGGCTAAATATCTCTACCTTCTGATGCCTTGTATCCTCATTTATAAATAACAGCTAGAAGTAAATAACATTTACTGAGTGTTTACCATGTGTCAAGCATGTTTGTAGAGTGTCTCATGACTTAGCTCATCTGAGTTTCAGGCTTTTAAGAGTGGTACTATAATTATCTCTATTTTTAGGATGAGGAGTAGAAGACCCAGAGTAGTTAAGTAAGTTACCCAATAACACAGCTCAGCTGAGTGGCAGAGCTGGGCTGTCAGATCCAGTCTGGGTCGTCTCTGGTAGCTCAAACAGTAAAGAATCTCCCTGCAATGTAGGACACCGGGTTCGAAGCCTGGGTTGGGATGATCCCCCAGAGAAGGGAATGGCTACCCACTCCAGTATTCTTTCCTGGAGAATCCCTATGAACAGAGAAGCCTGGTGGGCTTCAGTCCATGGGGTCGCAAAGAGTTGGACACAACTGAGTGACTAGCACTTTCTGGGTCTGCCATGTTGCACTACTCCTTGGAGGATAATATAATTCTTGCCATCCTGGATGAGAGAGGCAAATGAAGTAGAGAATGTCAAACCACTTTGTGGTTATTTTTTTTTAGGACTCAAAAATAAAACTTACTTCTCTGGCTGAGCTGGGTCTTAGTAATGGCACATGGGATCTTTTAGTTACAGCATGTGGGAACTAGCTCCCTGACCAGGGATTGAATCTGGGGCCCCTGCACTGGGAGTGTGGAGTCTTAGCCACTGGACCACCAAGGAAGTCCCTATTTTTAGAATATTTCTCTGAATGCTGGGTCCACATCTCCTCCTGGTTTCCTATCTGGAATTGTCTGGGTTCTTCCTGCTCTCCAGTCATCCTTTCTCTCCCTTTCTGGTACTACTTGAATCTTTGATGTGTGAACAGCTAATCTTACCGGCTAATCTACACTCCGATGTTAATAAATGATGATAGCCTAATGCATTTACCTTTCTCAGATTACACTTCCATTTTAGCTGAAGTTTTAACTCACGATTTCCTAATCTGCTGACCCTAGGGATCCCCCTCTCCTTCTCCTTATCAGCCCCGTGTTCTATGAGATGTTTCTGAAAGAAGCAAACTTTGTAGGAATTGGTTCCACACATGCAAGCATCTTTATACTTCATAAGACAAAAGAGCATTTGTGGGCCTTATTTCTGTGTCTTATTTGAAATCTTGAAAAGTTCAGAAGAAACCCTCCTCACTGCTATCTGAATGGGTCACCCTTGTAAGAATTGTTGTCTTGGGACTTCCCTGGTGGTCCAGTGGTTAAGACTTCACCTTCCAACACAGGAGGTGCGTGTTCTATCCCTGGTGGGAAGCTAAGATCTCACATGCCTCATGTCCAGAAAACCAAAACACGAAACAGAAGCAATACTGTAACAAATTCAATCAAGACTTTAAAAATGGTCCACATCAAAAAATCTTAAGAACCATTGTCTCTCCTCAAGGGCCATGCAGCTGGGAAGAGCGGAGGCTGTCAGTGGGGTACAGAGGGTACAGTGTGTGACGGGTGATGTCCCACTCTGTCTTTGGGTCAGGCTGGCCCTGATGCTCAGCCCGTCTCCCCCAAGGAGCTGATAAGAAGGTGGACAGCAGAATCACTAAGAGGGTGGAATATGGAGCCCACCGGGATGGGATGGGGTTGCTGCCCAGGGAGGGGAAAATGTGTCTGGAAGTTGCTGAGAAAGGTAAGTATGTTTGCCTGAGGTTCATTGCAGCCCTTCACCCTTGTGTGCAGCTTATATCCCCCCTGTTTTTATTAATGGATGTATTCTCTGGGCTCTATATACATACCGACACACATAGGGGCTTCATTGCTGTGGGGCCATGAATGGCTCCAGGGCCTGGGGAGCATCTGTGCTGCCTCTTCTCCCCACCGCCAACCCCATCCCTCTCCTGCCTTGGACACATTACCCATACTCCTGCCTTGGACACATTACCCATACTCCTGCCTTGGACACATTACCCATACTCCTGCCTTGGACACATTACCCATACTCCTGCCTTGGCCCTTTAGCTGGTCTCTTTCTTAGGCTTTTGGTTCTGACAGTCTTACATCCTGGGAAACCCCACAGTCCTGGGCAAACTGAGGCCATTGATTGTCCTACATTTCTCTGGAATGTTCTTCTCCAACATTCCAACCAGGCAAACAAATTCCTTTGTTCCCATCAGGTCTTTGCTTAAATCTTGCTTCCTCAATGAGGCCCACTGCTTCCTACTCTTATGGTAAAATGGAAATTCTACCATTTCCCTATAATTAAGCGTCCTGAAGGCAATTTATCTTGTTGGTTTTTGACTTAGCCTGAGTGCCTAGAACAGTACCTGGCATATAGTAGATGCTCAATAAATAAAGAAGGAATAAATAGGCGCTCATATTTTCTCTGCAGATGTTACTAGATATCACAGGAAGGGGGATTAAAAAAGTACTGCTGTCCTCGCTTTCAAAGAATTTATAATATAGTGAGAGAAATACAGCAAGAAGTCAAGTTCTTTTCATCTGAAAAAGATTTATCCTTTATCCTGAGGTCCACTCTTGATGTAATCTAATTCCTTCTACCTCTGGCCATGTAAACTCTGTGAAAAGAGGTGCTCTTTGAATGATAGCCATTTCTTCATTGTCCATCAAATCACACACTATTTGACTTTCACTTCTGCTCCATTGAAATCCTTCTCCTTAAAGCCATTGATAACCTCTTTACTGGCAAATCACTGACTAGCTCTTATCCTTAGCCTACTGAACCCTCAGTCTCATCAGCCTTAATTGGATGCTTCCTCCTCTGTCAAGTGTTTCTTTCCCTTGCTTCTGTTGTATTTCCTGTGAAATTTTTTTCTTTTACAGGTCCCTGATCCTCTCTACACTTCCTAAATGCTGGTTCTTTCAGAAGGTTCTGTCCTTGAACTGTTCCCTATTCCTTTTACAGTGTCCCTGTGTGAACTCACTCAATCTCAGGGCTTCAATGGTTTTATATTCCTGATCTCCACCTCTCTGTCCCGAGCTCAAATCTCACTACCAAACTTCAGCCTCATGGACACTGCCTACTTTGTATCTCCCTTTGGATGACACCCAGGCACCCCCTGTTGGCCACATCCCAACAGAGTCAAATACCAGCCATGATTTCTGTTAATGGCCCCACCATTTAGTTAGGCTTTCAAGCTGGACAAGTGGGAATCATCCTTGACTTCTCTGTTTCCTTCACCGCCTGTCCCCCCTCCCCCGACCATATTCGTTAAATTATCAGGTCCTATTAATTTTACTTCCAAAACTTATTTTCAAATATGTCATTTTTACTCTATACCAACAACCATCCTTTCTCCCTTCCCCCACTCAGCAGCCAGCAGCCTCCTAACAGATTTCATGCCTCTGGT